CATAATCAAGATCAACTAGCTTTTCACCAGAAATCACCGCAACGCCTGCATCGTGAGATGCCGCAAAAGTACATTCCATGATGAAGTAAAAGAAGAAAATGAACAAAAGATGGAGAGATTTGGCAACCATGACGAGCTTGCTCGGGGAACCCCGTATCCCGAGCTACAAATATTCTCACGGATTGCTAATATTGCCACTATAATCGATACGCTCTAGTTAGCTAAGATGGTCTCTTTCTTCCAGATCTGTCCGAACAGGGATGTCAGTGCTTTACTGAGGACCGCACCACCATCGCTAAATAGTGCGGGTGAGAGAGGATCCGGGACAGTAGCACAAAAAATGATCAAGGGCTTCGATCGTATTTCGGACCACAGGTTCCGAAGGAGCCTCCAGACCAATCGGCTAGGGCTCAGCCTGCACCAGTTGAGTAGAAAGAGGTCCAGGAGAACGGGGCCAACGGATCTGATCACGAAAGTGCTCCGCACAGCGAGCCATACGGCGCTCCTTATTGCGAATCATGGCACCCGTGCTGTATCTGATTGTTTCCCTGATGTATGGTTTCCTGGGACCAGTGGTGCGGATCAGTTAGAAGAGCTTAGGATAATTGCTTACTGTTCCTGCCTTCATCATTTCTTGGACCTTATTAGTCCACCAGGTTTTCTTCTTAGCACGAACGCTCCGCTTCAGTTCGCGCCTAATAGTCGATCCGGTTACATAGTCGACAAGATGAGCCGGAATTTTTCTCCTGGATTCCAATAGGTTCATCGAGTTCTCGATATCCAGTGACTGATGCGGTGACGACTCTTAGTATCACAAGCAGACGCTCCTGCGTAGTGCATGACGACCAAGATCCTACGCAAGTGTAGCTCAATGTCAGTAGGAGAAGAGAACGAAAGTTCCCTAAGTAGGGCATCCTGGTAGATTTGCCTGACCGAGGGCTGAGATAATGGCTCAGTTGCGAATTCAGTGAGACACTTGGTGCGCCACCCTGTAAAGTTCATGGAAAAAATGCACAAGGTATGATTGGAGTAGACGCAGATATTCCAGAACGAGCGACAGTTCAGCACGGAACAATGCCACCTGTAACTCATGGTAACGTGATCAATTTGGGTCTAAAAGCAGTGCAATAGCCGGTGCTTTGCACACAGATGCAAAATAGGCCCGCCGTTGTCCGTATGGTCGGAATTAAGTCCATGTTATCACGTAGCTGAGCTTCTGAAGAACCCAGACGGCCTTCTTGCGTATGCATTTCCTCTGCAAGTACTATGATATCTGAACTAGCAGCGCAGCGTAGCAGCCTATTCAGTTCGTGGTAGATTGTGTCCTTGGCAGCATCAACACTGCAGTCGATAGGGGTATAAGCGGAAACCACAAACAAACAGTGTCTCGTATTACTTCGTGAAGCAACCTTGGTTACTCATCAGACGGACTGTACAGGAACAGCTGCTCAAGGGAATCCAATCAACTCATGATGGCTCAACCTTGGAGCTGAGAATGATGCCCACTTCGACTTGAGCACTGGTTGTCGCATTAGCGTCTTCGGATGCGCTAAAGTAATAGCGAGAGGGCAAGCCGATCGCAGTTACTTCAACAACCCCGTGAGGGCCATTGATCCCAGTTTCGGACACACAACACAAGTCAATACCCAGTGTGTCCAACATGTGTATGAGCGCAGGCAATCGACCGATTTAGCTTAGAGTCCGAACGTTAAACAAAGCGGCCTTATAAAGAGCTGCTGGCGATTGGCGTCCAGTGGGTGGTGTGGGAAGATAGCAACAGGTGGTAGAACCGCAGCGGCGTCGCGGTTGCTGTCAATTGGGCTGGGAATTACAGAAGGCTAGTAATGGGGGTCGGGAGGGGAGTAAGATGGAAAGAAGAGAGGACAGCATTAACATACTTTAGCTTAACCGCCCTGCTGTATACAGCAGATAAGGCGATCCTGGATAAGCTGCGCGACGATCAATACAGGATGTGGTTGAAGTCCGAAGAAATAGTTATGGTTGTACGTAGGCTGAGATACTGCCATGGCGCCTACACTTAGACAGGAGGAGGAGGTGGAATGATTCGCTTGTACATAAATGAACGCCATCTCACTTTAAACCTCAAACCTGGAGGACCAAGAGATAGAATTCGTCTGACCTCTAAACCTTGACCTCTCAAGGGGTCCGAGGACCCCACCCAGTATAGCACAATGGAACGACGAGGTGCTCGAACCGCCGCATCACGTAAGAGATCCAGTCTCGTTGCGACCGTCGCAGCCCGTTCAACGTATGCCAGTCAATCTCTAAACGGTTGTACAAGAGACAATAAAAGTGCTTTCGACAGATCTGCATTATTTATGCACTGTGTACAGGCAGCGCCTGAAGTAGCATACACCAGCATCCTCAGCGTGAGTATACTCACGGACTTTAAGGTGTTAAAGAACATTTTATGTTGGCGGCGTTCGGCGCGGCATTTCATTCACTTCGTCCACCAAGAATTACTGGTGCGATGGAGCTCTGAAGTCAGTCAACGTTGTAGCTTGCGAAACTGACTCTTCTCCGAGTCGGCAGTGTCTGCCATATGTACAGGGAAGGTTACATTCTTCTCCGACATAAATGTCGCCAATAGTCACATTGTTTCCGTCAAAGCAATCGGGCCAATTACAAATTGCCCGCCCGCCCGTTTTCTCAGCCGCAGCCGTCACCTGCTCTCGGATGTGAAGCCATAGCTCTCCGACTAGTGCGATGGAGTCGACATCATCAAGGCGCGTTGCTATCGCCTTCACCAGCCTCATTCTTTTCGCAATATTACCTAAAGAAATAACGTTGAAATTGCGCCGATTCATGGAAACAATGCAATAGATAGATTAATGAAAATATATGTACAATTTGGTCACCAACAAGTTGTGATCAGTGCCATACTCAGCTCCACGCAGTACACGTGTCATGCGCACTTCACACTGGCGTACGATGACATAGTCGAGCAGGTGAGCGTTGCCATTCTGTGGGTGCGTCCAAGTAGCTGTCACTCGTACTCAGTGTAAATCGAGGGTTTGTGATCGTCACGCAGTAAGAGCAGAAGGTCACCATTCCTGTTGGCTAAGCAAACACCATGCAGGCCGATTAGCTCTATCCACACCGCGGCATCCCCCCCAACATGCGCGTTGAAATCATTCAGTAAAAACAGCCGATCACTCCTCGGCACAGATCGGAGGATGAGTGTAAAACTGGTCCTTTGTCATCAGGATGACACTTATTGAGATGGTACGGGTTTATAAAATGACAATTTTACCTCTTTCAAATCGCAAGCGAAGTCATCAGTCGTGGTCTGACGCTAGTCGGCAATGCGACCAGTCGGATAGTACAAATTCGACCCCAGGTTCACGTGGTGTTCGGGCGGCGTTTCGTACCCAGTATAACGCATAGCTGGCATCGGACTCATGCAGTTTGCCTTGGTCAGGGAGCCGTGTACCACTGAGTGCTGCAATATCGATAATATAGCGTGCAAGTTTCATCGCGACGAGTGTCGTGGGTCACCTGTAGAGCTGTTTACTTCCGGTCGAGTAGTCTGCGCACGCTCAAGCACCCGATAGTGAGCGCTTTGAGCGGAGGCATACGATTACGTTGATGGGCAATCGATCGCGTGATCACTTGGATTAGAGGAAGTAGTGGGTTAGGTGAAATGGGGGATGTGCGGAGAAAGAATGGAATGGTCAGCAGAAGCAAGCTATCGCTTACCCAGCCCGCTGCATGCGGCAGATTAGGTGACTCTTCGCTCCCCCACCAGTGCGCGATGGCCGATGAAGCATGACATTATCAGCTTAGGTGTATATCATGGTTTGGCTTCCAACTGGTGTACTGCACGCACAATTGAACATGGGAACGACTCGGGTGTTGAGCCAAAGCCTTCGATAAATGTACACCCGAAAGGCAGCGGGATGCGCCATGAGTCGGTGAACCGACTCATTCGGAATTGTGTGTCCTGGATCTCAACAAGAAGAAGGGTGTGACGCAACTCCCACCCAGTGGTCGCCACGCGAAGGCGTCTAGGTAATGAGTCCCGGGCACAACATTAGCAGCACTTGGTCGACGATCTGTCAGGATGCAGCTACCACAAACGTCAGAGACCATGGACTCACCCGCTACGCGATATATTCAGGTGGTGCTATCACATTGGATAACGTCTAAGTCGTTTGCAAGTGGTTACTGGACGGCCCAAAGGCTGACTGCTGAGAGTAGCAAAATGAACGGCTGCGTGAATAAAATGGACTGACTGGAGCTTACGAATGTTTGGCGGGCTGTCTTAACTCGACTAGTCTGAGGACCATCGGCGGATGGATTCGGGACGGAGAATGAACATCACATTAATCCCAAACCCAACACTGACAGAGGCTTACGTGTGCGACCATGGAAGGTAAGGAACTTGAGACCGTTCCATGCACCACTTGGAGAGACAATGTAACGGGACTAGCCTTATACTTACATCCATTCGTCGTGATTGTCTTTCCAGTTCGCTATATGCACTGTACAAATCAACGATTGATTCACTCGGACTGACAAAACATTTGTATCAAAAGCGAAACGTTGCATAAAAAATAATGTGATATTCACCATGACCACAACTTGTGAAAAAATTGTGCTTTAAAAACCGGGGAGCAGAAAAGAAAAGTTGCTCATTCAAGTAAGATTATATTTTCTCACAAACAATGTCAAAGCAGAGATGAGATGATGGTCGCAGGGAAGATAAAATAAGAAAAGCTACAGTCAATGTGAGAAGTTAAAAAAATACACCACATGGAAGATATGCTGACAGAAAACTCATGGGATATTGCGCGGACAGTTGTGCCCAGGTACATCTAAATATGGCTATCAGTGTTGCAAAAATGTCACGAAGCGGCAGTACCTAGAGTGAAAGCAGTCACTTTAACTAGTAACGTGGCTCCGAGGTCAATGAAGACGCGGCTGAGTGTATAAGTGTTAGTGCCAGTGAAGGCAACAGATTCCAAATTTCACATTACCGGACAGGACTGAAACACGAAAAAGTAAGAAGGCAAATATGATAAAATGTTACTTAGTACTTTTAAATCTGACAGGATTCATACAGAAAAGATATGGTGCCGGACAGAAACTGGGCGAAACAACCGCAAGGAAGATAAACTTTGACACCCAAGGGGAGTCACTAAAAAACACCTACAGCAACACATCGGCGTAAGAAAAATGCATAGAGACGAACAAAAGCAGAATGAGGCGAAAGCTGTGCATGCACTGGGATGATGTATGCTGTTTCCATATTTGCATTGAACGCGGCAGGTAAATAACGGTAACGTTCCACCAGTTTGTTGCGCGAAGATTCAAAATCAAACAGTGGACGAGAAAAGAATAATTCCATTAAAATAAAGGTCTGGTGTCACATTTCCTGCAGTAAGCAATTATATTATATTACTTTATGGAACCTCTCCATTAAAGTTAATCAGTAGGCATTTAACTAACAGAACACAATTTCGCGTGTGAAAGCAAATAAGTGCTCCGTTGTGATGGATGAAAAATGGCAAAAGCGGAAGATTTGATGAATGAATGACTGCAAAGGTGAAAAATTTGAGTGTATATGGTTGCAAGCCACTTAAGGAACATATATGCTGCGTTCCCATAGCAAACAGTTAGAAATTACGACCGAAAACAGAAATTTATCCGCCACATACAAAATCTCACAAATCGTTCATTAAAACAAAACTGTAGTGTTCTAGGTAACATGAAAAAAATTAATGCATTAAGATGTTGCCCACATACTAAATGTCAGTTAAAGGTGTTTTCACACAAGTAATTTCATAAGAAAAATCCTTCCTCATATCTAATTAAAATACAGACTGAACACTGCTGTAAATGACAGACAAGAGGGGTTACCCGTTTATAGGCTGGCAAATCCAAGCAACGCCCTGTGTGACCGGATAAAACTAACGGCACATCGTAGCTGTGCCGCAATTTGTCTATTCCGGCGTTGAGGTGCGCTACCTAAAGGTTCAACCAAGGACATCGGAAGGAAAACGAATCTATCATTTACAAATCATTGGTGCTAATGATGATGAAAGCACACATACAAACCAGGAGAGATTTTTCTTCGGACGACGAAACGTTTGCAGTCCATTTGGTAAGTCTAGTAGGGGAATCCACAGCCAGGCAGTCAATCAGATCAACCGGAATCCGGAGTGAGTTACACACATTTTGAAAATTATCTATCCACTCGTTAGCAGGGATGGGTGAAGGAGAAATAATAGGGAGGTCGGTACCTTTAAGGCACTAGCAGTGTGTAATTATCGCAGGTCTACCAACATTTTAGACCGCATCGTAGCTCTCCCTTGAGTCATTGATATAACACACAGACACCAGAGGTACATTTTTCCTTATGTTAGTAGATATAGCAAAACCTGTCTTTGGGAATGTTGCGGGTGCAGACATCACATCACGTTACCTGGCCAGATAATAACATGCGGCCTGTTCCCGAGTACCTACTGTGCTGTACGCAATCAATAAGACGATTAGTGTGAAAGTGTGGGATAACCAACGTGGCATGGGATTGATGACTTCGGTTTACGATGCTTTTAGGTAAAAACTGGAATGCAATTGAAGCGGCGAAATGTAAGTTGGGAGAGAGACGAGATTCCCAACGAGAATCTTGTTAGGAAAAGAACCAAACAGGCGATGGGAGCATACTGACGCATAAAGGAAAATCATAGGCATCACTGCAGTGCCTGTGTGACCGTCGCTTGTCGGCAGCGCAAATGAGAATACGACGGAATGGACCGCCGCATTGGGCTGGGGATCATCGTGACTGAAGTGGTCTCGTGAAAACAATCAGCGATAAAGGGAAACTGTGTTCTACTCATCATATTCCTGCCTAAAAGACAGCTGCTGCGGATACAAGCCTAGTAAAGTCCCACCTCAAAAAGCTGAAATCTTGACAGCAAGCCTCGGAAATGGCCAGAGATAAAGTGCTATATTGTAGTTATGTTGCCGAGCATGCGACGTTACCTATTGTCTCGTTGCAACCAGAACTGGCTGGACCGCATATCGATCTGATCGGCTGGCCTTGCCTGTCACACACTCGTTGGTTGGCTACTGGCCAACCAAACGTAAGCTTCGCTGATGTGATTGTAGTGGAGGTGTACAGATATGAGACGGATCTGGACGACTGCTATGAGCTACCTGAGTTGGCAATTATAGAAAGGTGAACAGAGAACTGTTCACACCGAAACTGTTACGGGTCGATCACCGGTTGCCCCAAGTGAACAAGCAAAGTCAAGGGTTCCAAAAAATAATCGGTTGGTGTATTTATTTGGCCACCATAAAAGCTTCGTCAGGCCACGTGAGCTGATACACAGTCGTTGTAGTGCTTTATAGCGAGCGAGTGAGTGAGAAGACCGTGACAACTGAGACGTGCGTAAAACGACTAGAACGCACACAGGTTGAAATGTCATCTCAGCTGGTCCAGGCAAATGGAATAATCTGCATAGGTTTCACTATCTGTCGTGTTGACAATCACGGTTTTGATGAAGACAATGATGTCGAGGGTATCGGCGCTCACCAAACTGGCAAGTATTGCTTAAGTGCCGAAGCCGTGGAAATCGCTTAAGCTAATAGCTGTGCGGACAAAATGGAAGGAGTGGAGATCTCAAATGCGCAGCGAAGAGTCTTAGCACGGCCAGTGTGGATCAGTCGCAATCAAAATGGAACACTTGAGATGTGTTTGCAACCCATGTATGAAATAGTACTTTAACTTATGTTTCAGTTATCACGATTGTCTACCTCACTCGATACAATGTGCCCCACTAACTAGGTACCAACTCACCTGACCTGACGAAGCTTTTGTGGCGAAAGTGAAATATCGTCAAATGAATACATCGGCCCGTAGTCCAGAGGTAATGAGCTTGTCTCGTAATCTTGCGGCGCGCTTTCGAATCCGAGTAGGGGTAGGCGTCCTCGCGGTAAACTCAGCCTGCGCGCGACTGGTAGTGGCCGCGCGGCAGCGAAGCGCCGTTACGGGGTACAACTAACACACTATTATTATTATGATTACATCGACAGATTATTCACAAAATCCTATGGAAAAATGAATTTTCCATCGGTTCAAGTAAACTCAAGGGAAGTTAATAGGTTCAGTGTACTTAACGCAACGCATTCTGATACGCACTATTGGTCAGGGACACTAAGAGAGGTCTTTGAAATAACCTCGAGAGGGAGTATATTTGTCCGTAATGGTTACTATGAGATGCATCTGACGTGGGGAAATACAGGGCGTGCCAAGACTACAGTGGGGTAGATGATGTTACTGTGGGTTGTGCTAAAGTGAAATCAGATGGCGGGTGGCAGTTGCAGTGAAACAAACATAACCCGTGATGATAGAGTTCACAAATGTACCACAGCAATCAACATTGTTGATCCGCAGCTCAGTGGCTGTCCTTCAGGTGAAGTGCAAAATAGGTGTAGACGTGGTTTCAGTTTGAGCATACACCAATTCGGTTGTTCATTTGAGACAGGCAATGTTTGCGGCAATATATTACTTATATCCAAGGAAAAAATAGCTGACCAATTGAGCTAGCTTAGTAAAGACAACGATGAAAACTTGTCTAAAAACCGTGGTCACAAACCCGGAGAAGACAAACCTCAACAGTATCATCCTGGAGACAAGGTCGAAACGAGTCAAATGCTGAATCCGCCGCAGCGGCATTACGATTCGCGCAAGTAAGTCGGTATTTAGGTACATAGTGGAGAAAAAGGTTATTGCAAATACACAACGGATGGAAGGCAACATTAAAATGGAAGTTCGAGTAAGGGGCTGAAGACTACAATGACCGAACTGTATTTCAAAGTGAATCACAGCCACTGTTGAAATTATGCATCGCAATTTAAACGCAGTAGATACTCCAAAAACGACGGATCATCGGTGTTCAAAAAGAAATCAAAGTTTTGAAATAGCGAGTCAACTGCAGAGAGAGCGCGTTGCAGCTACTGAAGGCACGCAGAGCATTGTTGAGAAAATAAACTGCCATCTGCCGCGTTTCGCACTAACTGTTAGTTGGCGTGGCCTCTATTACAAAAGTTCGGTTTATCTTTAACAAAGTAGTATGCTTAGAGCAGATAAAAACTCGTGACTGGTTTCAAACCCTCCTGAAAGTACCATCATGTCCACAAAAGCTAGTCATGTAGATGCCAGCGGTGTAAATCGCGTAAAGCAAGTCAGAAGCGCATGCTGAAGTGCTCCCGTTCAGCAGTTAATGCAACATAACGCGCCAGATTTCGTTCACTGAGTGAACTCGCAGGATGCTAAGCTGACTGAAAGTAGCCTGGTGATAAAACGTGGATGGGTTTGTTTGCTGCGCAAATTACTCGCATGAAGAGTCGCTCAGGTGTTGACGTTATTGTGGCAAAAAAGGGTGCGAAAACGCGCATGCGACCAAAGGTGCAAGGACCACTTACGCAAAATCCACGCTGACGATTGGGAACGGGGAACTGAAAGAGAAGTGGCGAAATAAGAGGCAGTGTAGTGGAAAATAGCAATGTGCAGCGAAACCAGTTTGCAAATGTGTGAATGAACACAAAGGTAGGTAATAGCAGTGATCTGGTGTAGCGAGGACTATCAATATGATGAGGGGGTGGGTGCTGCGACGCCAACGAAGCCGATAGGTTAGGTGCTAAAATCACATTCAGCAGAACAAATCGATCGATGAGCCTTTTGAAGATGTGGTCAGTTAAATTGAAAATGGGTGCAAAGAGACGAAAGAAAATACATAGCACGCTGAATAATCAGGTCCCACAATCCACCTTCCATAATAACCCTCAGTGTGATACCAAGTCCCATACAGCTGAAAGTTTTGTCGTTAGGCCCTAAGTTTTGCATTCCAGGTAAGAAAATAGATCAGGCAGCTTTAGAGGTGCAGTTTGAAAGTAGAATGGCACAGACTCGAGAACTATGTCCAAAATTATCGAGTGACGTTGGGAACCTTAAGTCTAGTCTAGTGAATAGTTGTTACATGTTAGGGCCAAACCATCTTGGCAATGGTATTAGAACAATAGAAAAAATGCAGTCACTTAAAGAGCTACAGTCTAACAAAGAATTAATAATCTGTAAACCAGACAAGGGTACTGGCATCGTGTTAATGAACAGGACTGATTACATCCGTAAAATGCAACACACCCTTAGTGATTGGCTTAAGTTCCAAAAGCTGATAGCAGGGAAAAATAACACAGAGGAGTTAGAGAAACAACCAGCTGGCTGCATCTAACGAATGATGCAGGCAAGACTTATCACGAAGATGGAATTCAAAATGCTGTACCCTTCAGATGGACACCTTCTAAGGTTATATGATCTTCCAAAGGTACACAAGGAAGGCGCCCAATGCGTCCAATCTTGGATAGGGTGGGATCCCCTAGGCAGTTGTTGACCCAAGGCATGGCGGAGAAGCTACAGTCGTTACGAGAGATGATCTGCACTTACTGCCTAAGAGATTTCATTGAATTAATTGTGAGGATAGCCAAACTTAACCTTGCTGATAAAAGGATGATATCAGCTGATACCCAGTCACTGTTCACAAATATTCCGATGCTCGAAACTATGGAGCACGTGTGCGAACTGACTCGACAACTATCCATTTACACAACTTCTCCGGAAACATCGCTTAAAGTGGTATTACTTCGGTGTACGCTAAAGTTTCAGTTCGTTTTCAATGGTGAAATGTACTGTCAGATTGAGGGAGTTGTCATGGGATCTCCTTTACGTACCCTGCTGGCCGATATCTTTATGGCAAAATTAGAACGTGCCCCAATTAGAACGTACATCGATGAGACTGCAATGTATGTACGCTATGTGGATGACACTTTTGTACTTTGCAAATCGGAAGAGCATACGGCGCAGTTATTGCAAGCTTTTAATTACGCGCATGAGAACTAACACTTCACACGCGAGCATAAGTTTGGAAACCGATTACCTTTTCTAGATGTCGACGTTATCAGTTCATAGAAAGCACACATGCACTGGGCAATACAAAAACTACTGCAGCGCGGTTCCGGTACAGTATAAGAGGATTTTGGTTCGATCTCTCGCCTTCAGAGCGCGCAGTATTTGTACGCCGCAGATCGTCAACGAAGAATTGCAACGAATCAGCGACGCCCTGAGAGAAAATGGCTATCCGGACAAATTGATCGCGAACCATCTGAACGAACATAAACGTAAACCAACTAAGAGTAGTGCCCCCAAAAAAGAGCTGTTCATGCACTTGCCACTTAAGGGTGATTCTGTTGATGATACTCTATCTCCAAGCTTGAAAGATGTTGTTGAGAAGACTTATTTCGCGGCGATTGAGGATTGTTTACTACAACCAGCCGTTGCTTGCTAAATCTTTGAAGGATGGACTGCCCGCCGTTGACCCGTTCAATGATTGTTTATCCGCATTCGTGCTCCTTTGGTGCACGATACCTGTCGCACTACGATGCGCCTATCTCAGAGGAATCGTGAGCACATACCGGCCTGGTTCTATAAAAAAGATGAGATCTACAAACAGCTGTGTTGTGTCACACGTTGATTTTGGCCACACAGCCGCTGGGGATGACTTCAGAGTCATATACTCGTTGGCTGAACGCCTCACATAAGGCTTCCGCATGCAACTCCTGTCCACTGCCGAGTTTATATACATCCGCCATTTAAAGCCCGAACTATTTGTACAAAAGCGGTACATACGTTCGTTACTACTTCCTTGGCCAAGGGACAATGTTATCTAACCATTTGATTGCCATGCGAGATTCTATGTTGTATATTTTTGTCTTTCTTACTATCTACAGTCTAACCTTGCGGTATTGATTGTCTGTTCGAACAACCAAGCAATTAATTTTCAGCCCGATTTGACGCTTATGACACCTAGTTTCTAGCATGTAAACGTTTGGGTCCGATGAGTTTGCATGAAAAGAATTGCTAATACAACACCCATTTGGTCTTGACTTGGCCGTTATATCTGTTGGGAATAGGTCTCCGATTTAAACTTGGCCCAGATTGAAATGCTGCCTCCCACTTAGATCATCGGTGATGGCGGATCGAAACTCCAAGTGTCGACCATCTCGGTACGCCAATGATGATTTGACATTGACGCGCAGTAAATTAGTCTTAAAGAGCTCTCCACACCATGATAACGAAAATAAAAAAGCAGGCAAGAAAAAGGAAAAAATAAAACAGACGAACAGAATGCGGCAGAATAACTTTGAGGGAAGGTAAGTATTGCCAATCGGAAAATTTGCAAGTCGGAGGAGAGGGGAAAGCGAAACTTCGAGTGGGAAGAATGTCAGTAGTGGGCTCGACGCTGCAGTGCCCCATAAGGAAAACGGCACGAAGTAAAGTGGCTGCCAGTTAATCAGGTAGTTAACACATGTCATTGACCGTATTGCAGTGTACATAAGTCTTGTTTTGTTACGCGTATTGTTTAAAATTAAAAGGATATAGACAAGTCTTGCTATTGCCATGCATGTAACGAACCAAGTTCGAAAAACACCCAGAAGACTCGAATCGGTAATCATGAGGACATGCGAGTGATTTAGCCAACAAAAGTGCTCCAGTTACCTGTCACCTACATTAGCTGCCTACCGATCGTGAGGCAATATGGGGGAAAAAGCAGATCTAAGATTGTGACTTTCATAGTTGAGGTACGGAATGCGTGAATGAACATGCAGTGCTCTGAGTCAATTCGGAAAACCAGGATATTAATATTGTGCGCACATAAGGTTCATCAGCTGGCAGTGAGGCACAACCTCGAATGGTAACGTGTACAACCATTTTGATCGTAGAGCAGGAAAAGTGACCAATGTCGGTCCCGGTGGAAGTTATCAACTCAGGATAGAGGTTCTCATAAACGTTAGGCTGCTCCGAAATCCCCAATACAAAAATATTAGTCTAAAAGAGAAGTTTGATGACACACCAATAAGTGAGAGGCTATAATGCAAACATGTAATTGGTTCAGCCAAAGTAAACCCCAATCGATATAGTGATTGAAACGCAGAAGGGAAAGCCACGAATCAAAGGAGCGAGTTTGGTTCCGAAGGGGTCGACTTCCCATTGACTGATGAGGATCGTGATGAAAGTATGATATCAGACAGAACAGAGGGATCAAAGGATCGAACTAGACAACCAATGGGAGACTAATATGACGGTTTGGATCATGGGACATAACGTGGTTGATGCATGTGTGAACGACGGTGACATCCTCATTGTTCGTTCAACTTAGTCAAAGGAGGAACCTCATCAGCCCAAAAGGGTCGTTGCGTATGGAAGTAAACAGACAACATAGATCGAGGAGTTCTGCGCACCAAATATGTTGTAATTTTCTCTGAGTTGACTTTGCTGAATAAACGCCTAGTCTCTGAAAAACTGACTTCTGTGACTAGGAGGACATTATGCAACAGAATGGAAGCGCTAGCGATAAGATCAAATGCCTCCTAAATTGATACAAAGCGGAATCAATGTGATGAAAATGGGCGACGGAACATGTATGGAGCTAGGGGAGGAGCGTTAAGATCAGCAGAAAACAGTTGGCGCAGGAAAAACAGGAGTGCAGTTGAAATGAAATGTGCGAGTATTGATAGGCGGGACTTACCAAGAAGTGACGATAGCGAGCCACTATCGGTGTTTCCGCCAGAGCGCTTGAGAGAGATGAACGTGGAGAAACAACACGAGAACGCTCTTCAACCACAGTGGAATCCTCCAAATCTTCCGATTCCCAGTTGGCGAGATCAGGGACAGTCGTGGAACCCGTGATACGTTCCCACTCGCTCACAGCACAGACCTTTCGTAGATGGAAAAAATGTAGAGAGCGCAAAGAGCCTAAGATGTGTTCGCGTAAACGACGCTGGGCTGATAATCTAACGCGCATTTTGACCAGCACAACGAGGGAACCCGCTTAATTGCAAGAGTATACCACGCTAATGAAAGTCAAAGCTGGGTGGTAAATGCTATACCACTGACTGTAGTCATTTGAACAACACTTTAGGCCATACAACTCCGGTACATGACTAACGTGATCACCCGTACAGCCGACTAGGTGATGGAATCAATCGTCGCAGACGCGCTGATGCAATACCTGGAAAGCCACAATTTAATAGCCCCAGAGCAACATGGCTTTCGTCAAAAGCATTCGTGTAACACTAACCTATTAATTGCACGAAATAGCTGGACTGAAGCTGTTGATGATGGAGTTGGAGTCGATGTCATCTACCTGGACTTTTCAAAAGCGTTTGATCGTTTAGACCATCGAGTTCTCCTTCAGAAGCTTCGGAACTACGGCATTGGCGATCCAATCCTGAGTTGGATTAGCAATTTTCTACAAGAACGACGGCTAGTGGTGAGAGTCCGAGAATCATTTTCTCATGCAATCGACGTGACGTGTGGAGTACCACAAGGCTCGGTTCTTGGACCTCGTCTATTCTTGGTGTTCATTAACGATTTGGCGAGATCAATTACTTCCGATTTCTTATTTTTCGCTGATGATATCAAGATATGGCGAAGGATCAGAGGACCGGATGACCATGAACGGCTCCAGCACGATCTTAACACAGTGTCGAACTGGTCAGTTCAAAACGCTCTACCGTTCAACGTAGACAAATGTCGCGTAGTACAATTACGCCATAGACATAACTACACCTACATACTTGGGACAAAGGAATTGCAGAATAGCTCCCAAGAACGTGATCTTGGTGTGATCGTACAGAGCGACCTCAACTGTTCAAAACAGGCTGAGGTAGCTGCGAAAAGAGGCAACCAGCACGTCGGCATGCTGCGAAGGGCATTCGGGAGATTTGACCCATCAATCTTCCCAATGATGCTCAATTCCTACGTGCGCCCGCAAGTTGAGTACGCAATCCAAGCTTGGCAACCTTGGTTGAAACGCGACCTAGAAGCGATAGAGGCACCACAAGGGAGAGCAACCAAGAACGTGATGGGCCTGCGGTATCACTCTTACCACCGAAGGCTGAAGTTGTTGGGAATTTTCAGCGGACGCTATCGAAGGCTGCGCGGCGATCTCATATTAGCGTATCAAATATTGAGTGACCCCAACCACGTATGCCGCCATTTGCTGAAACTTAGCCACAACACGCAGCTCAGGGGTAACTGCTTAAAATTGAAGGAACAATATAGCCGTCTAGAGTGTCGACGGAATTACTTTTCCCTTCGAGTTTGCAAACCATGGAACGCACTCTCAGACTCAGTAGTATCCTCTCCTACCCTGGATGTTTTCAAAAAACGATTAGATGTTGCCCTCAGCTCCAAACATTTTGTTACCTAAGCTCCTCTGTTGTGGATTACGCCAAGCATGTTTTCAACAGGACTAATGTATCAAATGGACCTAAGTGAGCGACCATATTTTATTTTCTCACTCCTTACCTCAACTATCACAGCGCCCCACTGTCTTTCTGAATGTTTACGCGCGATTTCTTTTTCCTTTTAAACTGATGTTAATTATCAAAGTATTCATCTCGGCAGACGTTCGATAGATGACCCACACATATTTTAATTGCATCATATTCACCGCTACCATCCTACGGGACATGTCAAGCACTTGCTTTTATCTCGTGATAAATCATTGTTCATTGTTCATTGTTCAAGACATGATCATCTGAGGATACAGTGTGGTTATGAATCACTAAATGTGGACAGCATTGCGCTTGTTGATTGCATTGTCATCGTACGATTGGTTTGGAGTAATCCTACTTAAACGAACGCAAGTTGACCCCAGTACGTTGATCTGGTCTTGCGCAATGCAATCGTCGCCTAATTCCATTGTCAACGACCGTAGTTTGACTTATGGAAATGAATACATCGGATACGAATTATAATTAATCACTTATATTTCTAGCGTTCATGGTTCACAGTGGCCCAGAGAAGGATGTCAATACTATACGATGGGGACACTTTGGTATAGCCAACTCTCAACTTCAAGGGATTCTTACTACGCACGCGGCGCCCAGTAAGTGAACCGAATGTAGTCTACTTCCAACCACATTGTTGTTCAATCTGAGATCGCGTATTGCAATACGCACACGACAGCTAGTAAATAAACGAAAACGAACGAAGCAAACATGGCTCGATGTACGAGAAGAAGCAAGTAAAGGTGGAAGGACAGCTGGTTGGTCCAATAAAATAAATACGGGTGTGAACACTCGTTTCTGTACAGGATGTCTGCGACGTTACAAAGGAAGAGGGCATTCATCCCAAACCCGCATTATCACCACTGCGAACAACTGCGGGAGAGGATTCACACCCATGCAGATTGGGTAAAACACCTGTTGACGTAAGATTGCAATGTGGCTTCGTTCGCACTTCAGTGAGGCCAAATTTTTCTATAAGCCGAAAATAAACGGCTTAGATACAGCATCCCGGGGAAAACAAATCTTCATAATCACTATCAACTGTAGTATGTCAGGCATTTGACAGTATGCCTCGCTGCCGTACAACTAGAACGAGCTACGGAACGAAGAATAATAAGAGGGAGAGAAGGGGGACTTATTGTAAAATCGTAATGTAATAAACAAACCTTGAGGGTCAAGGCACGTACACCTTGTCACGAAATACCGTCACAAGCAGCTGACTATCTTGAACCCAAGAGTGCACAGACATGGCGTCCAGTCGGTCAACCTCAAGATATGGTAGAGATTCGCCTACGCACTTGAGGGTTGTAAACGATGACAAAGACAGATTTCCAAAAAAAAGGATAACAAAAGAAATAGTACGGAACCATTCACATGTCGTTATCCAGATGAAAGTGAGCCCCAAAAAGTAACTTAAACAATCCATGACCCAGACATCGCCACGATGTTCATCTGCTCACTTGCAGTAAAGGTCGGTTTCACGGGTAGGTCCCCAGGTAAGTACTCCAATCGGTGTGATACGACGCACACAGAAAGTTGACCAATCCAGTAGTCACAAGGATCTGTTCACATCAATTGAATTACATGCTTTCAATAAAAATTCACGCCTATCAGAAGGCTATAATATCCATTATCGCTGAAAGTATAATGAGATCACCGCCACAGTGATAGGGCCCCAAAAGGTAGGTGCCGTGATTCACTTCAGTAGCTGGATTATACTTGAGTGACATCTGATCTGACTGGGATTGATATTTTCGAAGGGAGGTTTAACATACAGTCCTCCCTGTGGTGTTAGATGGGTGCCTTCACAGAAAGAGTTATGGCCGAACTCCACCTCGTGAATGTATGGTGCTTATATTTCCCAAATGATATACAGGTTAGTGTTGCAGAACTCAGTCCTACAGGGACAAACACGTTTATTCGGCAAAGACAGCTAAGCGAAAATAACAGCATGTTTAGTAAGCCAAACTGTTTGCAGGTTCAAGTCCATAACTAACGACCCTTCTGAGTCGATGAGATTCCTCCTTTGCTTCAGCTAAACATGAGGTGAATCACTCACATGAATATCGTCCAATCCGAGTCCAGTAATCGAATCCGTCACGCCCGCCTCCCATTGACTGTTTGGCTCGCTCGGTTGGTCAATCTGCTCACTGATCTGATACTACCATCACATCCTATTTTCGATGGGAGGTATAACATACAGTCCTCCCTGTGCTGTTAGCCGGGTGCCTTCACAGAACGAGTTATGGCCCAACTCCACCTCGTGAATGCATGGTGTTTATATTTCCCAAATGATACACAGGTTAGTAACTACTGAGCGCAGACCTGAATGACACGAAACCTCACGAAATGAGCGCTAGCTATATTAGAGCACACTGAATTTAAATTCATTTGGTGCTACAACCATCACGGAGTGCTATCAGGATGATTTATCCATCCATTAGAGAGTAGTGTGTTGAATTACAGAGGCTTCTAAACATTGGACGCTGGTATACACATTTCTCCAGACTTTACATTTTCGTTTACAACGAACAAGGGATGCATGGGTGGTGCAACCCAAGCCTCCCATGAATTCCATGCAGGCGAGAATGTGCCGTGGTTGTTCCTAGTCACAGTGGCAGACCCACGTTGGAGCACGCAGTAGGCGCATACCATTACTCAGAAGTGGAACACGAAGCGACATGGACTCATGTGTCGTTGTACGAACACGAGTGTATTCGAAACTCACTGCAGGGGAGCTGTGAGGCATGGACCTGAAAAGCGATGTCGAACAACTCACAGAAAACCCAATCACACTGCATAAATCGTGTCTGAAATGCACTGAGCTGGTAACGTTAATGTGAGGAAATGAACACCGGTTCATTGCGCTAATCCAGTTTCACCAGCTCACTATGGGTTCACAATCACCACTCGTTGACGCGAGTTTGCTCGACAGTCTTCACTTCCAGTTCCTTCATGATTGCAACATAGGACGCGCTCTGTTAACAGCGAACTCGACCAACTAAGAGTTGGCCATTCGAAACACACGGTTGTCGTCTGAAACAGTCTGTACACTTACTTAAATAAACACTACTTTCTGTTCTGTTTTGGTTAGATCCAAGCCCCCGTATGACGCTAGCCACCAAGCACTGCGTTGATGCCACGAGTTAGGAATACGTCTTTAGTACACGTAACGGGTAAGTAATTGGTTCTTCGTTCTCAAGAAACTTCATCAATCCGTTTTGCGACTGTCAATTTCCATTTCATACGGAAAGGCATTATAAGCATGAAGCATGCAGGGAAGGCGAGGTGAGGAAGCGATCGACTAACATAATAGAGGGGTGAAGGGTTACACCACAAATGTTGAGTGGTAGCAGAATGGATGGATCCCGACCGCTGCCTTCGCAGCTTATCCCATGTCTGGTGGGAACATAGCGTGAGCGATTTGCGTGTTAGGTATCGTGTATTTGGTGCAGTTGAATGTCTGCACAGTGGCATGTGAGCGAGGGTGCAGCTGTGTGGACAAACCTAGGATGACTTCGTAGTTGTCTCTGGTGTGAAGCAAGGATATGTCTTAGCTCCTGATCTGTATAATAATCACCTTTATGCAATGATGTCCTGTACCTTTGACACTGCTTGTAATTGCGGTGTCCGTGTGGAACACCGTATTGGTGGTGCGTTACCGAACATCCGTCATTTCGAAGCGAAAACCCGAGTGTGTGAGACGGCTATCTGTATGTGGCTGTAGGCTAAAGACAGTGCGTTGTTTGCGCACAGCGCGGATGAGTTGGAGCACATGATATCGGTTCCCGCTTCGAGCGGCCATATCCGGACTCACCATTAACACAAGCAAGACTGTTTGTCTTTTTCAGCCTTCACACGGAACGAAGTTCGTGGACCTGCCCCAAATCCAGGTAGCCGACGAAGTGTTGGAAACCACTCCGAGATTTTGCTACCTTGGGAGCGTAATAACGACCGACCTTCACATGACGAGCGTTGCGCATGCGCATATGGAAGGTGGTTGTCAGATGTGGCAAGCTGGAATGTCGTGTGTTCAACAACCATCAGCTCACTGTCCGGACGAAGCTGGTGGCATACAAGTCTATGGTAGTATCAGTTCTTCTACACGGCAGAGAAATCTGGACGATTTATGTTGAGGATGTCCGTTATCTGGAGCGATTCCATGGACCGTGTCTGCGTCGTACTATGTGCATCGGCTGGAGTGACCAAGCTGCACACAAGGAGGTGCTCCGACGTAATGGCATATATGCAGTGAATGGCGTACCCCTGCTGATGCAGCTGTGATGGCTCGGGCATATTCGCCGCAAGGGTTCGGCCCGGATACCGAAACAGCTGCTTTATGGCCAAATGCGTGGGGAAACCGAAGTTACGTTACTAGGACATGATCAAGGTGAGTTTATCACGAACTAACGTTGATTTCAGGTGTTAGGAGTCGAAAACTGGATCGGCGCCGATGGCGAGAGCATATCAAGGGAGCGGTTGCGTAGGTGCAAGAAAGTCGGTTGAGAGAGCGACAGGCGTCGACTTCGAGCGCATTGTGCTGTAGCGCGGCGCTTGCTTCCGATTCAATTTACTAAATCAGGTCAATGATGCGGTTGGTGTGGTGCGTGTGGCGTATCGTGGTTGCAGATGGTCTGTGCGTGGGTCTGCGCATGGAGATTCTTGCACTTCAGGCGTTGGCTGTTGACTGATATACCCCGTGTGGCTGCTCTTGATGTGAATGTTGTCAAGGTGCCCAGTCATCTATTACCCAATACCTCGACTATACTGGCTCCAGGAGACAGTTATTCGTTGCTGGAAAGGACGGGACGCACGGTCCTCGTGGCCTTGCTAGACTCAAAGAGTGGTTCCATGCATCCAGTGTGGAACGGGCTACGGCCCAGTCACCGCCTTGTGTACGTCTGGTGCGCATGGTTCTCCAATTAGGCATTTGTGCTTCCGCTCGGCTTGTTTAACGAGTGTAGGCCGGCTCCGTTGATGAAACCTGGCTCCCATCCACATGTCTCCCAGCCTGATTCCTTCGGGTTTACACTGGATATGGGGTATGCAGATGGAACTGTGGGTGGTGCAGCGCAAGCCAAACTCTGTAGGCGCAGGTGTCCTGTGACTGTCCACGTGGAGGCCGCAGTAACAGGCAAATCCGGAACCGGATGCCGCCAGTTAATCGGTGCAGGAAGAGTGAGTGAACTGCTCAGCAGCGTCATTTCACTACCAGGCTCCGATGATTGAGCCACTTATTGCGCATGCTAACCCATCGACTGCTGCATCGTGCGTAGTTTGCGCCAGCGGCGTGTGGATGGAAAAGAAGGGGAGGCCAAGCGATGTCTTGGTAAAGGAATAAAAACCGCTTTGAAGTTGGCGCCGGTTGGTACCTCTCGACTGCCTAGCTGGGGTCCGGAGAACGACAAACACATTTGGTTGGATACACTTGCTGATATGGCGAAGAGCAGGCCAAAATGGCGCTTGTGTTGTGAGTTGCTTTGTCCATCCCCCTCCACTCTAGATTCCCCTTCTAAGTTCGAAATCATTACAAATGCGTAATACGATATTTAACATTATATTAGTTGCTTTTTGAACTTTTTTGTAGTCTGTAATTTTTAGTAGCTTAAATTTTGTATTGGGACACATTAGCAGAGGTATGTTTCGCGTCCACAGCTATGGTGTATTGATGATGATGATGACCGGTAATGGAATCGACCATATCAAAGTGGATAGATATCAACAAAACAGTTCAAAAGCTGATGAAGCGTAAAAACTGGTGATGCTCACCTGGCCTTCTGAATCACGTAGAGTGAAAGTGGAATCGTAATAGTCGCTCGGAGGGGCGTCGGAGAATATGGATACTATCGATTTATCACTAGGCAGAGTCCCAGAACCTAGGCCATCGGATGGGAACACGTGCACCTATGGTATAAAAACAAAACGTGAGGAGTAGAATGGAGGTGGCAAAGATATGCGTCGACGTTCTGCCGCAAAGGTTACGTCACTAACCTGCCTCAAACAACAGATGGGATGCAGTTTATGAAACATACAACAAAGCTAATGGTATCAAGGCTGAACAGAGTGGAAGGGATGATAAGGACTGAAGCCACTGTGTGGCAGCAAGGTCGATAGGAGATAAGAAATGTGCACTGATGCGCACAGCAACTAAAGAAGTGCAAAACAGTAGCGGAAACGATAGCCGAAAGCGTTCGCAATGCTTTACATCAACTGATTAAGGTGGTCAGGCGGAAACAACTCGCAATCATATTTGGGAGGAAAAACTGATTAACGGAGATATACCAATTCCGTTTCATCAGGAAAATCCAGTTCTTTGCGAAATCCGATCAATAAAAGACCATGCCATGTTGGATAGCCATCGTCGATCCAATGGCTTTCACGTGAGCATATCCGACAAACAGAAATCGCTGCCAGCATCGGCAGGGCAGGAGTTAACTGATAGAGAATCGGAACACGTCGTTCCTGTGGTGGTAGTAAGTCGCAGCATTAATCACGCTGGACGCCTATCGAACGGGAGAGCTGGAGGGATTTGGGCCGACCATCTGAAAGCTGATCAATTGCCGCCAATCAAGCAACAACGCCCACGTGAGCGAGAAGCGTCTCTTAAGCCCGTACGGCCAATTGGCTCGACTGATGAATATGCTAAGTCAGCCAGCGGAAGCCCATCCAGGAAGAACTAATCGGAACCGCTCAACGGTGCGCAGATTGTCCTATAAATAATAAGTTATCTTCTGATCAAATAGTTTTCTGATCGAGGCTGAGACTTTGGTTTTCGATTCACGGAGGCTCACACGACAGTTCCGACAATAGGCAACCGACGCCGATGTGGCAAAAAGTAAACCCAGAAACAGGTGAGCAAAAATTGTAGAGGAGAATTGTTGCAGCAAGCTCCTTGTGCATAGTCTTAAACGAATTGGACGATCATTGCATCCCACTGGATCTCGTCCGCAGCCGGTATTATTTCAAATCATCCGAATGTGTAGAGCCAATGCGTTTGGAAGGAAAGTGGCACATGCCACTGGGCCATTGGTGAAGGCGCCGAACCGTAATGACTGGTCAATAGCTGCGATATCGTATGGCCCACACTGCACTGCCAACTCGAAAGTAACCGCTACGAATCACACCAAAGTACGACAAAATCGGCCTGATACACTACAAGTTCAGTATACAAAAAAGAATTCAACTGAGTGAAGAAAACAAAAGATGTATGTTCATTCTAAAAGCCCCCACTTACTCTCAGTGACGACTGGGGTTCCAAACAACCGTTCGGCGACAACGAACGGCTTGCTTCATGGGATTTGGTCTTAAATGTCAGCAGCCAGCCGTTAAGGTCGATTGTCTGTGCAAGGAAAGAAGTGAATGGCTTAGGGTAAAAACAGCACTGAAAACCACTAAGAAGCCATGGAAAGTTTAGATGCAAACAACATGAGTATAAAAAGTTGGAAAGCAAGCAAACAGAACTTCACAAACGTATACTCGAGGTAGTAAACCTGATTGCGTCACCTCGTACCAGAGCAGTGAAACGTAGAAAAAACCGTTAAGAAAAACAAAGAACGATGATAAGGGCAACCAGTTACAAATATTAGCACAAGTAATGTCAGAAGTGAATAGAAAAAATTCGCTTGGTGCAAAACCCTCCAACGAGTATAATCAATAAACCATCCGCGTAAAGTGAAATCGAAAGAGCCACTCGTTTGCAAGTGATAAACGGTAGAATGAAGAGGCATCAAAAAGGTACAGGGTATTGGGTGGAGAGTCAAACGGTGGGTCATTGAGAAGGCGTCGTTTGAAGTACATTAACGATTAGGACTGATGCTTTGCGGTCACGGGCTGGATTGCCGAACAACCTCCTCTTGGTGCCAGCTGGGTGGTTCGGGATTTTCCCGTTCCAGCAAATGGCTCGGCGGCAGTGTTCCAGGACGTGGTGGGTTTTCGCCTGGCAAGCGTTCTCCCTATAAAAAGCCACATATGTCCGTTTAACAACACGGTGACGTGGCGGACGTAACTCGCCACTAAATAAAGTCACTGCCACTTGCTTCATCCTGGCGAAGCATTGTATTCCAGCAACATCATGCTGTACTTCTGGGGAGCATTGGGCCCCTGTTTGACAAAGGAACAAACGAAAGGCGTATGAACTGAGCAATCAGTTACCGGCTCCCAATGGGCGCGATTCCCTGAATTCGCTCCGCTGCCTTGCGGACAGGCTATTCAGCCAAAGGCTCGGGGTGGTGTCCCCTAAGTCAACACCCTACTTCGGCTTGGGCAACCGGGTAGTATCTCGCCCTCTGAGGAAACCATGGACATTGTTGTGTTGTGTTTTATTTTACTATATATATATATATATATATATATATATATATATATATATATATATATATATATATTTGCGGTCACGCAACATCAAGAAATTGTGAGGAGACTGCGGATAAGATGGAGGCGCCCGAAGACGGGCTGTAGTCGCTCAAATAATAATAATGATAAGAATAATAATAACAGGAAAGAGGTTCAAATAGTACAATTCGATTAGTGCCGGAGGTCGTTCACGAATACGGTTTGAATTGGCATAGTGAAAAAGTTCTCGGAAAAGCATGATGAAAGAAAAAGTGGGAATGATGATTGAAGAGTTAAATGAAGTCTGGCGATAAGATCCGGTTATTTTTGGGTGCAACCGAGACCGTGCATTGCGATTTGATAAATATAAAGACGCTGACCAGAAAAATTGTGATTGACTGTAACGTTAGTAACTGGGTTAATGGCAGAAGTTGACCCAAGTAAGTGAATTGCAACTCAAAACCAAAGTAAGGATGGAAGAAAAATCGCAAGACAAATATTTCCAGTCACTTGGAAAGCGCAGTAAGCTGGACTGCTTTAGTAGATCGGGTAGAATGGTCGTGTGAAAAAGGCCAACGGTAAGGGTCATTCAAATCTATTGGAGTGAGGCTTGGCCGCTTCATGGGTGGATCTGAGGCGCCTTCAAGCCCTTGATCATCGGTGCTGTTGGAACAGTGCTGGTGTCGGCTGGCACCTGCGTGTCGGCAAGGACGATGTGCGTAAGTGAGTGGTAAGCAATGAGTATCAGGCTAATTCCTTAAAACACGAGATAGCACTGGATACCTTGTGTCGGTTTGGGCATATACTATGTATGCCCGGTCACCGCTTGCCGAAGATATTGCAAGATGGGTAAAAAATAAACTAATCAACGGTAAATGAAATTATTGATTGCTATACTGCGTGTTGGACCGTCTCGCGTTCCAGGCTGGAATCCGCGCCTCGAGACGTTACAGGAGATGTCTCTGTCGGCACCAGTAGTGCATCAGCTGCCGTCTAGTCGGACTGCCTGTCTAACGTGTGTTCGGTGCTGAGTTATCTGTGGGGTAATGGCTGATTATGACGCGGGCAGTGATCGTTGCAAGAAGTTGTTTCGACGATACCGCACGATGGCCAGCTGGTTGTGATGGTACACCTGTTGACAAGATTAAGATGCCCTGAACCTGAATGTTTACTTGAGGCATTAAGGTTTTATGCTAAGTCTCCCTTTACTTGCACTTAGTATTCTTCAGCCAGTGAGTTGCTGTGGTTGGAAGGCGGCGAAGCATCAGCTCAAATGGCCGATTTACTGTTGTTGTTGTTGTTGTTGTTGTTGTTGTTGTGCACGAGTACCAGCGCCCAGATGATCGACATATAAAGCTTAACATGATTAACCATAATAGCAAACAGATCAATGAAATCAGTGGTGAAATGCGCCTGACAATGAATTGAGCGTGGACGCAGTCTGTCGCAGAGTTCAAAGTCAAGATATCGCCTAGGATAGGCGCTGTATTCTGTCGATCAAAGGAGCCCTCGGTGTGATGGGCGGGCTTCAGAATGTGGAATGCAGTGTCATATACAGATTCATTTTTCATATTATCTCAGAGGTTACTGTGTAGGCATATTGCTGTGTACATCAAATATGACGCAACGCATGCGTTCTGCGCATACACTGCACTGAAAAACATCGGTTGCTCGTAGATCTAAAATGTGCACACTAGCTCTCATACATGTCGTCAGAATAGTAGTGGACTTCAACTAGAAAGTGTGGGCCAAAGTGACAGAGAGAAACGGCTGGATCCCACAGAATGTTGAGGAACAAAGCAAGGTAAATATGCGGCACAAAACATAGGAGTACACCGACACAACGTGCAGTGTTTTTGGACGATAGAGATGAGAACAAACACATACACGATGTACAACGACAGTATATGTTAAGGGCATCCAATCCAACACAAGTGGTAACTACACTAAGCAAAACCGGGCTGTGACAAAAGGCAGACACCAACAACATGTAACTATGCGGAGACAAATCAGAATGTTACGCTGCTAGAATGATAAGCCAGATAGTGCGTTATGCATTGGAGATTAACGAACGAAAAATGCTCAATTGTGCACTGCAATTTTGGCGTATCAGTGTTTCTGAATGCCTTCACTAGCAAACAAGTATGCAATCAGAATGTAAAATGAGTGCGCGTGAGGTAGAAATTCAGATATTTCCTGAACGGTTAAAGCGTGAATGTACTCTGCAGTTACCTTCGCTAAATTAATGCAAAACCATGAGGGACGGAAAATGCGGTGACGTGGCAAAATGATAATCATGATGATCGAAACTGGTCATTTGACGTACTAGTTTGCATGGTACATACTGTGTCCAGAACGTCGTGGTCAGGAGGCACAATGACAAGACGTTTCAAACCCCATATAAGTGAATGAGATTTTAACTAACATGTAGTTGAGTTGGGAATTCCAATGGACAGACGGTGGTTGTCAATAGAAGGTAATACATTTCACATGAAAGCGTCACAGACTGCGGAAAGTAAGGGGCAAACTGCGAATAAAGCGGCCAACTGGCACAAACAAGTCAAAGAAACTAGGGGCCTTGAGAAAAGACTTGCCTCCTTTCCGGCGTTGCAGATGAGTAACATTCCATCACCTGATTCGACAGCCTCAAAATGGAGGTTACCGTTAGCCATGCAAGTGATTCTAAAGGAGTCGACGTCCGAACGAGCTTCGAGAGATGCATTTGTACGGCGAGTAATTAAACCAGTGGGCTTGATTTCACAAATTGCTTTGGTCTATAGTAAAGCAATATATCAAAAGATTAAAACAAGACAAGTATAAAAGAGATCAAAGAGAGTGAAGTTCACGTATGCAACTGACGATAGAAAGAAGACCTATAAAGAGGCAATCCGCAGTTGCACAGACAGTTAGATTAATTCGGAGAAAACGAAAGCATGGAACCCATGGTAACATCGGTCCCCTGGAAGGGACGTGTTGATAAATTGCACTGATGGCAATGTAAGCGGCGGGAAGTTGGACACGCAGTCACAAGTGTAGAAAACAGGTGGCACGAATGCAGTGTGTCAAAGAGCGTCGACCATTGAGAGCCCAACCGATTTCTCAGTAGGAGAAAACGGAGAGGTCAAATGGGATTAAATGTACAACGTACCCGTAAAGAGGGTTCTCTAATTCATCTCGAAGTCTAAACACTGACCGATAGTTAACGGGCTCATCTCAGTGTCCAGGAAAATATTCGATCAACCAGTAGGTCTGCGTAAATGGAAGATTATTCGAGGAACACATGAAAGCGACCACAATAAGATGGATAATCCATTGAAAAATTTTCACGTCGGGACTGTCAGTGGTTTGAACCTAGCAGACGGTTAATTCATTCGGATATACAACACAGATCAGAAAGAGGTGCGACAGTGATATCTTTAAACAATGGAAGTTGGTTGGTATCAAGAACCAGCCCCGATAAACGAATATCCGGATAAGTGAGTATTCCTACCAAACAGTCAAATTGCACTTTCATCTCAGGTCTGGCGTACATAAAATCAAACGAGGGCAGCGCACACAGAATACGTGGCAGCAATGTCATGCAGAGAACTGCACACCCCGCTGACCAATGATGTGCTGCGTTTGGGGCATCTTGCCTGAACAGGACAATAGCCAGAGTGATGGTCAACTGAATCGCAGAGACCCCAAAACTGAGGAACAGACTTGCAGTGATGTCCATCATTCTTAACCGCCCCGCAACTCATACATCCGTCGCCATCACAACAAAGTCCGTTATCCTCTTGTCCCAGCCGTCACACAGTCGCTTCACATACAGTGCGTAGCAGTGGATAATGGAAAACAGACGTGAGATGACGCTTCCATCCTTGCTTTTTTTGCATACGTATCGATAAACCGCGGCGTAAGGGACAGTAGTTGCACTATCACGCACCCCACTCTATATATCCATACTATCTCCTCTAGAAAATAAAACAATGCAGGAGGAGAGCGAGTTCCACGTACTTAGCTTAAAACATATATGACATCTGGTTACACTTGCACGCATATACTGTCTCATGCACAGACATTGAAACACATTGCGCACACATCTGCGGCGCGATGTACAACTCTGCAACCCTGGTCTGTGGTTTCATCAGTAGTCCTGTCAACCACTTGTTCTCTGCGCGATCTCATTATTTTTCAAAGCCCGTCGAGCAATTCATGCTGACGGTAAATACCATACACTGCGCAGGACTACCAACGCTGAACTTAAACAGCTTCTCCGGGAAGATCGCGAGGCCTGGTGTGAAAGCAGTGAATCATTGAGATGGAGAGCGGCCACTTCGGAGAATTCCCGTAAGCTTTTCCTCCGGATTCGATCCAGTAGTAGCAAAAAGGCCGACTGTAAGCGAGGATCTATGCGAAACCAATGGCGAGCAAACGCACTGTCAAAAACCCTAACTTGAGGTTTGGGCCGAGCATTTTGAGTAGCAGTTTAAATGGCCAGCAGCATCCATGAGTACCCATTCTAGAATTCAGAGTGCTCCCGGGTGTGTAGACGTTTCATCATCATCTGATGTTGCCCATGAACTTCGCCTCTTAAAGCGCCACAAAGCCCCTGACCTAGATGAACTCCCTCCGGCTCTCTTCAGAGATGGAGGTCCATCACTTGTTCGGGAGTTAGGTTCCCTCTCCTAAGAGATCTGGATCACCGAAGTTATTCCATCTGATTGGAGCCTAGTGGATATCGTGCCCGGCTTCAAAAGGGGTGTGCAAACAAACTGTGCTAGGCCCAAGTGGATTAGTCTCCTCTGTGTTACATCCAAAGTGCTTGCCGCTCTGATTTTAAAGAGGCTGCGCGTGGTAAGCGAACAGAGTATACGTGAAGAGTAAGTTGGATTCCACTCAGGTCGGAGTTGCATCGATCACATATTTACACTCCGCCAAATAGTACAGCGTCGTCAAACATTTGGCCGGCCAACGGTCGCCGTTTTCTTAGACATAAGTGTCGCGTTTCAGTCAGTTGAATAAGCTGCTTTCTGGCGTTGTTTAAGTTAGGGAGTGCCCAAGAAGTATACCAATATTTGTTGTGCCGTCTATTCGCGGGCCGAGTGCAGGTGTATAGTGGAGCTTCGCTTCCCTTTGTGAGACAGGGCTGGCTAGCATCACCCTTCCTGTTCAATTTCTCTATGGACGAAATAATAGACAGTGATTTGGAGAACTGCGAACCCAGCGGGGTCGAGCTGCTCTGGGAGACCGACTTCAGATATGTGGAATATGCAGAGAACATCGCCGTAATCTGCGATTCATCACAGACCGCCTAAAATGTCATGTGTAGGTTGGAAGTGTCTGTTACCCAATGTGCATCATCGAAGTGTAAGGTCATCTCGCAGGACTGGCTAGGATCTGTTTCTATCCTTACCTTTTCAGGTCATTTGTTGAAAATGGTAGATATGTTCGTTAATCTCGGAAGCTGCATCAGTGCTAAGCAGTTAACAGATGAGATTTCTTTGCGCGTCTCCAAGGCTCGGGTTACTTTCGCTAATCCTCGCCATCTCTGATGTCGAGGTAATCTGAGTCTATCTGTAAAAAAACCGGGTATACAGTGAAACAATGAGATAGGTCCTGTTCTATGGCTGCGAGTTGGTCTGTTCGCGCAAAGGATGTGAGACTGTTTGTTTTTGATCGCTGCTGCCTTCGGATCATTGCTGGTGTACGATGGCAACATCATACTAGTAACGAGGAAGTTCGACGGAGGATTTTCTGACCAGACAGACTTTGCCGGTTACTGAGCAGCATAATTTCCCTGCGCGGACTTCAGTAACTCTGGCATATGCTTCACATGCCTACTCATCGTTTACCTCGCCGTGACTCTTTGTGCGCGGAGAAGTCGGCTGGAAACGAAATCAAGGTGACCACCGTATGACTTGGACCAAAAGCATGAAGTAGCCATGGTCGGACGCTCTCCATTCTTTGGCTGGGTGCACAAAGAATACCTTTCGCTTATACCCGTCGGGAGCAGAGTGTAGGTTCGTTGATATCACAAATTGACTTCAAAAGAAAGATTCATCAAGGCTCACACATTTTGAAGGGAAACGTGCCCTCAAAGGGGACCATGCAAAAGCTTCACACGACAAAAAACCATATAGGCAAACCTCGTCATAAGGTGACCGCTAAGGAACGGTCGATGTGCTTTAAGCGAACTACGATGGCTTGCAGTTTAACAATCCAGATGCGCAAAGTTAGCTTTGGATAAGTTGTCCAGAATAGCTCCCGTTTTTGTACCTAATATGTCTCACAAAAATAGCACCCTATTGCAGTAACATTAATCCATCGCTTACTCGTGAACACCTTGACGACCAGTAACTGGAGATCGATCATTTATCTCGGGAACAGAAGTAGCGGTGACGCGCGTGTCCACGCGTTGCGATGAATATGCCTGTGTTCATGAGTAGGAGACCTTCGATGTACTTAATTGAGTGTTTATCGCAGCAGTTTTTATAGCAGATAGTCTTTCACATGCCTGGAAAAGGACTAGACGGCGGTTTCGATCTGTTCTACCCTGCCAGTAAAGCACACTCATCGGATCCTTTAGGATTCGAACCCATCACCACCAGCGGATTGAACCACAAACCAGTCGTTTATGCCGCGGAGTCATGGGAAACCGCAGTGGACCGCCATGATTTACAAGCTAACTGCGACGGATGGGCAATATTGACAAGGCCCAAAATATGGAAAAAGCAGGCTAGTGCTTCTCCGAGTATGTGAAGGACTATCTGATTTGGAAGCTGTTGCGACGACCTCTCAATGAATATACCTGTCTTTGCCATTATAAAGCTTTGGGTGTAAAAATGGGGCTTGACGTCACTAAGAATGACTGTGATGGTGGAAAGCCACGTTGACTGATGAGTGTAGTAATCTGTGCTGGACTGCAACTATCAGGAGTGGTATAGATATGGCGCAAAAAGAGTCAAATAATCATCTCCAGTGGTTGATCGATATGAGTAAGATTGAGTGCCCTTCCAGTCACTAAGCTGGATGTGCAATTTAGCTCACATCTGATGGAAACACTACGTGAGCAACGAGCGTGTTCGACGCCTTGTTTACGGTACAGAAAAAGGAACTGTACTGCTAAGCACCGTCATTTCACGCACCAGGCTCCGATGGCTCGGCCACGTGTTACGTATGTCAGCCCAGGAACCTGCATTGTTTGCGCGCAGAGGGTGTGGATAGAAGAAAAGGAGAGGTGGCCAAACGATTACTTGGTCGACAGGAATGAAGGCCCTCACTTCGGAGCTGGCCTCAGTTGGAGTGTCTCAGCTCCCTGGTTGGGGTCCGAAAGACGATGAACACGTTTGGTTGGACACACTTGCTGATATGGCTAGCATACGAACTCAGTGGCGTTCGTGCTGTGAGCTTCTTTGTCCGATCCATCCCTCTTAGCCTTTCCCTCTAAGCACGATCGCATTATTTAGCATTTTATAATTTTGCATAGTAAATTATTTGTTTTCTGCTGCCCAGTAGCCCGCAGGTAGTTTACCGGAACGATACCCATTCGTTACCGGTAGCTCAGCTGGCTTGCACATGTTGTATTTTATTCCCACTTTTCTTTTAGGTATTGCGGCACAGTAGCTGAGATGTTTCTCACCTCTAGCTAACATGTATAGTGTGTGTGTGTGTGATGTGTAATGCATGTGCCGAAGTGTGGTATGATAGACGCCAGTCTATCCAGTGAAACATGTTCTCTCCTAAGGTCAGATAAGAACAGCTATATTGTACAATTTATTTAAACAGAACTTAACACTGTCATCAGGTGGTTACCATGAATAAATCTGAATAACGGAGAAAGAAGACCAGGAGAAATACCAAACTCACAGACCCATCCGCATCGACGAGAGTTAAAGAAGAATCGTATGGTCGCCATATGAGTGCATCTGTCACCAAGTACAAGCTTGGGAGCGGTAAACGCTGCTTCTTTCTAAGGGGAATTCGACCGATTTGTCCACCGGAGGAAGAGCATATGGCGAGCTAGAACAGAAATCAGAACTCGAAAAGGACTTCGACGAAAGAGTTGGGGGAAAATGTGCGCTAATAAGGATAGACTAATGACACCTTGAGAGGGTCAACGCAATCACTACATCCAGGTATTTCGGTGGTATCGGCGATACACACGAAGAAAAGTGGTCATTATGCAACGTGAGTACTAAGCGGTACGCCATTGAGTCAATCACATTCATTGAAGTCAATGAATAAGGCAACATCCATACAAACCTAAGTACACATAACGATCGGTAGGACGCATTCTTATATTGACACCACATGGCAGGAGTATACAGACTGAGCCACGGCCTGGCAAGTTTGCACTAACAGTTGCAGTCCATGACAGTATAAGAACACTTACAAAGCTGCTACCATGCGCCAGTATTGGAAAGTATAAGAGAAGGAGCCTATGTCAATGCCTTTTAACTGAAATAAGGTCAAATACCCAAAGAAGTGATGACGCTAGCATAAGCAAATGACGCTAGTTGATCGTCGAATAGAGAGAGTCATCAGTTAATGAGGCTAAGGACGCGGTGATGTATCGACCAGGAGTAGACTTGGAAAACGTACCTGCAGCTATTGCTAGACTCCATAAATGAAAGTAAAGAACTCGGAGAATATATAAAAACAATTAAGAAATGAGCAATGCTTCGCAGAGAGCAAATATGAGTAGTCAACCAATGTAACCCGTGGGTACTGGTCAGATCTCCGATCTACAAAAATACAACGGCCGTGCTGCACCGTTGCAAATCGCTTGCGTAAGCAACAGCCACACATTGTACAATACACGCGCAAAACTTCTCGATGATGCAGCCGTCAGAAGTGACAAGGTTAGCTAGGAAAGTAACGCGATCGACCACCCGTGCGCCAGATTTGTGATAGACACAACCGGAGGTGTGTCTACCCAGTACTGTAGTAACACTTGTGCTTTAAAAGTACAGAGCACATACCAGTTTGAGCTGCGCCACGCATTAGCCTGTTTAGTAGCATGTAAAATGGTTGGGCCCGATTCAAATTATTATACCGCAGACTGTAGTGAAGTACGTCCCAATCGATCAAGTCGCCACCAGCGACAAATGGTGAGTACACGTGGAAAGCATTTGTTCAGTATCCATTAACCTGGGAAAGGTGGTGACGGCGGAACTTGCACCATTGACGGCCAACCGTAACATCCCACATCTTTCGTGAAGTACTTAGGTGTACCCTCGCGCCGGGATTTGAAGTCCATTGACAACACGAACAAGCCATATCGTAATGGACTGAGCATTCTTTGGGTGTTCACAAGCAGCTTCAGTACTTGGTCTGAAGTGGTCGCCACTCGCTTCTCCTCTTCCGTCATAAGACTAATACTGGAGTACGGCTCACTTGCATATTATGTAATCAACTGAGACAAGGTATAGAAGATTGAACGAGTCCAACACATAGCTACTTGACTTAGGCTAATTTTAAGAGTGTTGTCGTACGAGAAGCAGTGAGAGAAACTACGACTCTACATCATGCTCAACCGTCGGCTGCAAGTCGATTACACCATGAGGTACCGTATTTACAGCTCAGTGACTTCAGTATGCCGATGCCGCTACCTCACTTGCAAACGCCAAGCAGCACACGGAGAAACCGGTACAAGCTTGCAGTGCCAGATGTAAAACGATTGCCCCACCTCATGCACTTCGAGAAAGAGCGGTAAATTCTTGGAAATGTCTGCCAGAACAGGCCGTGGAGGCTAAATCTGTAAAGCAGTGTAATACGTTACTGGATTTGTATTTCAACACCATTCGATTCAGAAAACAATTGCACACTACCAATGACAGTATATATCTGTGAGCCGTGAAAATGTAAGTCAGGCATTTTCAAATGCTACACAAGAAGCTGAAGAACGATCAGATTCGCACGGGTTGCAGACACTTTGTGCAAAATTTTTGAGTTGTAGAGATTTAGATTTCTACTTGCTCCCACAATATAATATTTGGTTGAAACCGCCGAGGAAGTTGTTGTGTGCTTCCATAAATCTCGTATAGCCTTGCATTGCTTCAGGATCGAAGGAGACCAATTGATAGAAGCTTATCGATTAAGGGAAGTTCAGAATGCCCTAGTTTATCCAAGGTCACTTTATGAGTAACGAAGATCACAAAAGGTGCGTTCGCAGCATTGCACTAGCTGGTGAAAGTGCTGAGATTCACGGGTTAGTGGTTAGCGAAAGGTTGATGCCTCACCTAATTGTCTGCTCGGCTGGTGGTGCTCACTTTAGGTAAGTAATGTTCTGCACAAGGCAACGGACGAACTACCTCGGTGTGTACTGCATCCGAACACCGACCAATGACGGGTGTGTGGTGGGGCCTTTAACCCGGCCGCGCCGTTTTCACTGAAAATCATTTTTGGAATATCGTTATGGATACATTAGTTTCTTCGGAATATTTCAACATTGACCTATGTCAAACTATTTCCAAGGTCACCGTTGCCCTCCTTCTCTTACTTTTTGAGAAAACTCAAGATACTGCGCCCTTGAAGATGGACGGTCCAGACTGGAAATCTAGCTTGTAACGCTGGCCTGCCAACAGAATGCAGCTTTAGGTTATGTTGTCCGGAATTACTTAATAGTTGCTCGTTTATACTGTCCGTTTGTTCCCGTGATATCTGAGTGCAGTGTCCTGTTTTCCAGCCACATAAATTTAAATTCTGGTGATGTAATTTTAGCCCGTCCGTAGTCGATATGGTAAAGTGCTGAAAATGTATCCATCCGGATATATAAAGCATATTTTGACTTGACTTGAATTGGTAAGCAGTCAGTGATATGAGAATAAGGCATGAAAACGTGAATAGAACGCCGAATCTGACTAGTAAGTGTCATACCGATGGACACAGCCATACGGAATCGTAAGACCGGTGGCTTTAGAAGCTATCTGTTAGACCGCAATCGCAAAGCCCATAGAACAACAGCTTATGACTGTTTCGTTCGTTTCTTTGATCGGCGATTGAACAAATCTCATCCGTTACATGTGTTTGATTCATATCTTTTTGCCATCTTAGGTAGCTGGATGGTCAAATGGATCCAAAGAAATTTGATGCGCTGAGCAAAGCCAACTAAATGAACTGAACTGAACCGATTGTTATTGGGTGTTCGAATTGGCCTGCCGATTCACTTCCGCCGAATCAGAATCCGATTCGTTGGTTTGATGTACCATCAGGCACACAGACACAAATAACTGAAAAAACTCTCGTCAGTGCAGAAGTAGCTAGCGCCAACTCCGATGTAGCGATGTCGGATGAGCAACCAACCCGAGTGCCTTAACCATGGGCAGACGTCAGCAGAATATTTAGGATTGTAATAATAACGCTGTTTATGGTTGTCCTTAGTGCCAATAATGACTTATAGGCAATAGGACCTGGCAGGGTGTGCTGGGAAAAGACAAGAACCCCATATACCACAACACCACAAATCTCTACTGAGTTTAACAGCCGAGATGTAATATTATATTGGGACCAACCCGAGCATATTAATGTTAATTAATTCCCACATTGAATATATTAGCGGGGTTTGGTGATGATGAGGATGAGGATGATGATGATGATGATGATGATGATGACGATGATGATGAGGATGAAGATGAGGATGAGGATGAGGATGAGGATGAGGATGAGGATGAGGATGAGGATGAGGATGAGGATGAGGATGAGGATGAGGATGAGGATGAGGATGAGGATGAGGATGAGGATGAGGATGAGGATGAGGATGAGGATGAGGATGAGGATGAGGATGAGGATGAGGATGAGGATGAGGATGAGGATGAGGATGAGGATGAGGATGAGGATGAGGATGAGGATGATGATGATGATGATGATGATGATGATGATGATGATGATGATGATGATGATGATGATGATGATGATGATGATGATGATGATGATGATGATGATGATGATGATGATGATGATGATGATGATGATGATGATGATGATGATGATGATGATGATGATGATGATGATGATGATGATGATGATGATGATGATGATGATGATGATGATGATGATGATGATGATGATGATGATGATGATGATGATGATGATGATGATGATGATGATGATGATGATGATGATGATGATGATGATGATGATGATGATGATGATGATGATGATGATGATGATGATGATGATGATGATGATGATGATGATGATGATGATGATGATGATGATGATGATGATGATGATGATGATGATGATGATGATGATGATGATGATGATGATGATGATGATGATGATGATGATGATGATGATGATGATGATGATGATGATGATGATGATGATGATGATGATGATGATGATGATGATGATGATGATGATGATGATGATGATGATGATGATGATGATGATGATGATGATGATGATGATGATGATGATGATGATGATGATGATGATGATGATGATGATGATGATGATGATGATGATGATGATGATGATGATGATGATGATGATGATGTGATGATGATGATGATGATGATGATGATGATGATGATGATGATGATGATGATGATGATGATGATGATGATGATGATGATGATGATGATGATGATGATGATGATGATGATGATGATGATGATGATGATGATGATGATGATGATGATGATGATGATGATGATGATGATGATGATGATGATGATGATGATGATGATGATGATGATGATGATGATGATGATGATGATGATGATGATGATGATGATGATGATGATGATGATGATGATGATGATGATGATGATGATGATGATGATGATGATGATGATGATGATGATGATGATGATGATGATGATGATGATGATAATGATAATGATGAAAGTCATTGCGCGTTGCGGGCTAATGGGGAGTTCAGACCGGTGGAAACCCATGCGCGACAACAACAAAGCGCACCCAGTCCATGCAGATTTCATTCGAAGGACGAAGCTTGCATACCGCCGACGAAATGAGATTTGCATCAAGTGTCAGACACGAAGCCGAAGTGC